GGGGGGGGGGGGGAGGGGGGGGATCATTATTATTAAAGAGGATCGACGCTGCTTCTGCCACCACGTGCCCTCGTTCAGGTAGCTGCCTTCCGAATCGCCTGTTTTCCGGGGCAAAACGTCATTCGCGCATGTATACTTGTTCACTTTGAAATTCTCCCGACACGTGTTCCCAGGCCAAATGGGATTCACATGTTTATTTGAGATGGAACAATCGGTAACATTTGTGCGGGTGAGCATCGGGAGGCGATGGCAGCGCAGGGCCAGGTGGTCGAAGGGCGTCCAAGGGCGTCGGGACGCGAATAGTCTGACTCCATGGTCTCCTGCTGAACCGGTAAGAGGAGAATCGAAGACGCTCGCGCGGGCCAACGCGTGCGGCGGCTGTTGCAGCCGTCGCAGCTGGTAGTCGCGATGTGGACGCGACGCGTATCGAGTCTCTTGAGATTCGAGGTATTTGCCGATACGACAGAAGGGATCAAAGTTTTTTCCCGATTCGATAGGGGAAAGTGGGGCGGCTCGGTTGGCTCGGGTAGCGCGAGGGCTCGTGTAAATGAAGCGTGGCTTAAAGGTTACTTTATTCAGAGTATACATAAGGGAAGGTAATGCTCAGGGGAAGTACGGCTTAACGGGCTTCATAATTTCGAATCTTTAGTCGGCGTCTCTTCCCTTTGCTTCCCCACAGCCGCAGTCACGCGCGCGCACACATTGCCAGAGCTCGTATCGGTAGAGCTGTTGCCTCTCTCTCCTCTCTCTCCTCTCTCTCTCTCTCCTCTTCCTCCCACGGCCGCCTGCCCTTTTTCTTGCGCGGCCCGCGATGGCATAATTCTCATAGCAAGCGACGAGATTGCTTTTTAAGTGAACTTTGTAGTTGGCGGCTATAGTCAAGGCAACGGCTCTTTCAGATTAGGGGATTAATTATTTGTGGTACGGTTGGATTAGAGTCTTGGCTGCGCGGGACCTTGGAAAGGGGTCGTGCGAGGGCGGGGGGGCAACATGGAGCTCTTGCGATTTATTGGCCGGCTAAAGAGATCCTCTCCTCGCTCTCCAGGAGGAGGCTGATCGATTAATTCGAAATCGCCGGCCGTAACGAGCGACAAAGTTAGCCAAGGAATATCGATGAGGTTTGCCTGAAAGCAAAGAGGCCAGGTACGCTTCCCCTTTCTGGCCTTCACTCTCTCTACCTGTCCATCTACGCGCAGCCCTCGATAACGAGTACTGTACATTATTCCCATGTAGCTGCGTCTGGCTGGAAGGCACCCGCCGACCACGTGCTCATCGCTGATCTATGCTATGTGTATATCTTGTCACGTGATTTTTCGAATCACGGTCCCAAGGCGGCTCCGGTTACCGATACAGATAACGTTCTCGATTTCTGGTTCCCTTCGGGTCGCCACCCTGCTCAGAAGCTACGCTCTTGGGTTGATTCGTACAGTTACGTCAATGCTCTCGTAAGATTTCGTTATTGTTTAGTTGAGGTCGAGGTGCTCGAATCTGCCGTGGGGAGATAGTCTCGACGTACCGAGTTGCCCGGCAGAGGAGAGTACCCGACGGAGACGTCTCCACGGACCGGTAGAAGCCCGGGTGAGATACCGGCGCCCCGCTGGAGATGGTCAGAGGGCTGTAGAGCGGGCGGAGGGAGTTTTGTTACGGTTAAGGGCAGGATAGACAATTAAAATTCGTTCTGATACGTTCTCAATTCGTCGCTCTCTGTCTCTCGCACTATTTGCCGGACTCTTACTCCGACCCTCTCTACCTCAAACCTAGCAGCCTGAGCGGCCGTGCATTTCCGTAACCGTCCGCTCCCGTTCGTGTATCCAGTTGCGTTTGCTGATTTTACGCGACCCCAAAGATCCACAGGATCCGTTAAGCTATCGCCTCGTCTGAATGACGGGTGGACGGCCGAAGGTAACGTAGGTTGGTTCTCGAAGATAGTTCGTTCTCGTATGTTTTGCTATCGGTGTCGGGTCACGAAAAAGAATTACGTTACAATCTATATTTATATATATATATAGATGTATGTATTCGGTTTATTCCATCGGGCAAAACTTTTCTCTCGATTCTCAATAGAATTTTATTGCTCGCTGATTACCTATGTGGACGCGCGGAAATGACTAAGCATTCGTATTACAATGATCTTTTGATTGTCGGGCTAATAATGGAATAATGGAATATAACGGAGATGGGGTGCAGCCGGTCTGCCTGCGAATTTACGATGCGCGTCCGGCAATATTCGAGTACTTGGATCAAGGGTGCGAGCCGTCGCTCAATGAGGATGCATCGATGCAGTTTCCCATTGGACTAGGTTTGCATTAGCGAAGCTCTCGTAAAGCTCGACAACGTCAAACGCGCGTCGCCCGTTTTTTCCGAGATTCGCAACGATGAAATATAAAAAAGCAGGAATTACGCGAGACTCTCTCTCTCTCTCTCTCTCTCCCTCTCTCTCTCGCTGATTCTCTCTTTTCTCCCGTTAGTTGTACGAATGAGATCAGTCCTGGAGGTATAGATATAGTTAAAACTATCTTGTTTCGGTATTCTTGGGAATTTGGACTATCTGCCGTAAGTGGCAGCAGGTCGGCCTTTCAGGACGCTTTCGTGATGCTTTCGTGATGCTTTCGTAACGCATTCAGGACATGGTCCGGTCTTAAAAGAAAGAGGAGATCAGACCGAACGACCGTGCTTCCTACTTTGCTAAAGTTTCGCAGGGCCAACTTAGAGGTTGGCCGTAAAACTGAAAGACACTGCGGCTCCCTTAACTAGCAGAACAATAGTCGATTGTATAACGACGACGACGACGAGGGCGGCTTCTTCGGGAAATTTATTTGGACTCATGAACGTGCAACCTGCTCCTTCGAGAAGATGCTGCGCCGAACGCGAAAGCACCGCTCGTTAGTCGCAAAGTTGCTCTTGTCTCGGCCGGCCCTCCCTCGCAACTTTTCCTCACAAGACCCGATGGCAGCCGACCTGATTACCGGCTCGACCTGTCTGCGCGGCCGCCTGGCCGTGCGGGTGTCACGTGACGCGTGGCAAAGGTCACTCTTGGTCCTCGCAGCACGCGGCGGGCAGGGACGCACCGACGGAACAGGCGACAGACAAAAACAACAAAATACGCAGCGTCCTTTTATATTTCAAATATTTACAAGGTACACGTTCTCGATCGATTGCATTTGAAAAAAAAGCTATTTCTATTCAGACTGATGCCCCCATTCTCGTAGAAACAGCTGGAACTATTGAATTGGCGCCGCAGAGAAATCCGCTGGTTAATTAATCCTAAAGATAATGTCGAAAATCCCGGGTGAGCTTCCATAAATCACGCGGAATTGAACTGGCGAAGTGGTTTCCCGTATTTCAGCTGCACTTCTCGTCTTCGGCGTCTTCTTAGGCAGAAACGATGCAATTGCCGCCTGTCGATCATTCGAAACGTGAAGGCAGACTCGCAATCTGTCGCGGATCCATCGGGTTGTCTGGTTTGGTGAGCTAAACGCCCCCAAACTCTGACGCCAATGCCATCCAACCGAAAGCATCAACCGGCAGGACAGACGCAGCTGCACCTGCATGCGCATGTTGCATGTGCCTGGGTTCAGAGGACAGCAGTGCGCGGCAAAGGAACACATGCGGATGACAAGTGTGCCACTGTAGTAAAGTAAAGACTTAATTAGCACTCTTCATTATTCGTAATTAGCACTTGATGCTGGCTCGAGGCTCTTGTGACGAGGCTTCTTCGCGGTGGTGTAGAAAAGGGGGAGGGCGGAAGGGCAGAGAGAGGGAGAGAGAGAGGAAAAAGGGAAAGAAGGGAAAAAAGGACGCTCGACGGGTAGTGACGTGGCTCTGGTGAAGATCATTCGCCTACCTTCGGCATCTCTCCAATTTTTATCCCTATAGTCTGTAGATTCGTGCGATTCGCGAAGTGGCTCTTTTCACAGAGCGCGTCCCGTGACCTCTGACCCTCGATAAACCGTCGGCCGGGCGCATCGTTCTGGCAGCTGGGTCACTCGATAGATTCGCGTCACCCAAATTTCTCTTTTCTAAAGTCCGACGACTATTTCGGTGGGGATTCCATTAGCGCCTAAACACTGTAGAAGCCGCGAGGGCAGCTGCTGCGTCCACGAGGACCAATCGCAGCGAGCAGCTGCTTTCTCCTTTTTCTCTTGAGCGGCTCGTCGGGACTTTCGTCCTTCAGAGGATCCACTGTACCTGCTAAATTAGCTACCCAGGCACATCATCGAAGGTCATTTTTTGCAGGCGACTCGCTCACTGCAGAAACGTATAAATTCTCCTGGCAAAAGGGGTGCCATTAATTTCTATTAGAGCGACGCGGCTCGACGCGAGCGTCGGATTTGCCGAGAATTCATACATAGGAGCGAGGCGGAGGCGGAGGCGGAGAGGACGAGATACGCAGCTGAAGCGAGCGGAAGAGGCGCAGAATGGAAAAACAAGGAGCAAAGTCCCTTCTGTCTAGCTGGGAATATGAGAATTCATTTGTTTCCATTAATTAGCGTGCTTCGGGACTGGGAATCTCTGACGTCGCGTCCACGTGGGGCCGACTGGCTGTCAGGCCCGACTGTCAATATTCATCACGTGGATCACGCGGATCACGTGGCACAAATGCAAAGAGCACCGAGCGTCGGCTCGCTTTTCCCGGCGCCCTGTGCAATCATTCTTCCGTGCGCACAGCATCCATGCGCGGTCCAGGAGTGAGACGATCCGAGAGAGAATCTCGAGCAGCGGAACGGGTGCGGTTCACGCGGTCGGAATCTGCGAGGAAGAGATTATAAGGACCGGAAATAAGGACTTTGTAATTAGTACTCTTGCCCTCCTACCTCCTCCTTGCGGTTACGTGCGGATGGACCCATAAGACGGCGGATCGACAGCGGACGCTCCCTACGTGCATCTCCACCAAGTCTACAAGTCTACTTCCAGCCTACGCACCCACCGCACGTCCCTCCTCTCGCTGATTCTCACTAATTGGATCTTGGCTGGCCTTTCGTTTGCTCGCCTAAAAAGGAATCTTCAAAGATACTTCAGGACCAGTTCGAACGAATGAATATTGTAACTTTTTCGAAGGTCGTGGCCCAGACTCGTGCCGTGTCACCCCTGACGCTCGGCTGCCTCTTCCCATCCCTTATGGGTTCGCTCCTCCGACCACTTTGAGACGCGGCAGCTGGCAGCTCCGCCGAAACTCGACGGCGAGTGGCGCTTTGGGAATCCTCGGGATGCGCGATGGACCCGCGGGCCAGAAGATGCTCGAGCTTACTTATCGGGCGGCTGCATCTTCGCAGAGGTTATTTAACTTTTGCAATATTTTATCCTGTCGGGCCGCAGGCTAGGCCGGCGTATCTCGTTCGCGCGTAACACCTATAGCAGCCTATTGGTAAGGAGCGAGCCGAACGGAAGGGCGAGGAGGACCGAGTCGGATGAATCTGCACTCGCAAAAATATCCCAGAAGAAAGTGAAGCGAAGGGATGGAATTTTTTAAGTTTTTCTGACCCTCCGAGGATCCCAGATAGCCTTTGACAATTCGATTCGCGAATGCGCCGCTGATTTATTGACGATTTTTACAGTCGCGTCAGTTTCATCCCTTCATCCCTTCATCCCTTCGTCAATGACCAGCCGACAGCTTCGATTCTTGCCATTCTCTCGCTGGACATCCGTACGTTTTGATATCGCCTTTTTCGTCACTCAGGCTCGAGGCTATTGAGCCAGGCTCTCGATCACTGGCCTCGCGTTTGCCCCCCCCCCCCCC